TAATAAGTCGTACATACGAGATACTAAGTCGTACGTACGACATAATAAGTTGTACGTACGAGATAGTAAGTCATTCGCACGACATAAGTCGAATGTACGAGATAATATGTCGTACAAACGAGATACTCAGAACGTAGCTGCAGAACTGTAGCTTTATGGTTTTGTATATCAGTCTTTGATCATATTAAATGCAAATAATGTGCAATCTACGCCGCAAAACGGGAACGCACTTTTGGGAAGAATTTTTACAGTTTGCAGCATTGGTCTATTCCTAATTCTAAACACTTTCTTTAACCAATATGTACATTTTATCAACCTTCTAGCTCTTTATAATCGTTTCTACAGGCGATAAACTTGCTTGATTTCAATTGTCTGTTGGATTGCAGAAAATTCAAATCAAGCAAGTTTATCACCTCTGCCCGATTCGAACTTGGGATTTTACATAGTTTATTTTATATTTATCTGCAAAACTGTTAGTTTGCTATAATTAAAAAATTATAGACTAGGAAGGATAAAGATTTTATTCAATGCATTATATTGATTTTACACGTGACCCTGCCTATTTTCAAAGCCTTATTAATTTTGGGCTTAAAATGGTATTATCAAGAGTAAATGGCTATTTAAGATATCGTCTAGAAAGTCTGAAACAGTGTTTAAATGTAAATTTACTTGTCAACTTTTTTAGGTAAGTTTTTTTTTCTATGCCCCCCCCCCTTTCCCCTTTCAAAAACAATGCTACGTCACTGCAAGAAATTTTAATTACTTTATTTTTATGGGTGAACACTTTGTAAGGGCAACCCTGCTTAAGAGAGGGGGGGGGGGGGGGGGGTGTCAAGGCCATTTTAGACAATATTACTCCTCTTTAGAAGAAGAGATCCATATGAAATTGATCAAAGGTAACAGCTGAAATAAATCAATTTTTTTCTTATCAAATTATAGTTTACGGCTTATTTATTTGAAACATTTCATATACATTGTATATATATATATATATATATATATATATATATATATATATATATATATATATATATATATATATATATATATATATATAAAATATATATTTTAGATACCGTCTGTCATACTTTAGAAAATATTCCTCTTGGTGATAATATGGAAAGAAATAAGAAAAGGAATTTAAGTAACGATGAAGAAAATGCCATAAAATCTTTATCAAATGACTATTCTATTGTTATCAAAGAAGCAGACAAGGGAGGAGCTGTGGTGATTATGGATGCCGATTATTACAAAAGTAAAGTCATGGAAATGCTTTCCAACAGAGAATTTTATAATGAAATTCCGGAAAAGCAAGGTAAGAAGATAATCCAGAAAGTGAAACATCTTCTAAAAAAACACAAATCTACTTCGTCCCTGACAAAGAAAGAAACGGAATTTTTGACAGACTTTGATTTCATAGAAAGTGTTTTCTATGGCCTTCCTAAAGTTCACAAGTCAAAAAGCATTAGAGAAGCAATAGATGCACAGATATCCGATTACATTACATGTCTCAAACCAGAGGATCTTACATTCATACCTATAGTGGGAGGACCTATATCTCCAACACAACACCTTAGTCAACTCCTTGATATCCTCTTAAAACCTTTATGCACAGAAGTGAAAAGTTATGTTAGAGATGACTTAGATTTTTTGAGACATCTACCGGACAAAATTCTTCCTAGTGAAACATTAGTTACAATGGATGTAACAAACTTATATACTAATATAATTAGTACACTAGGTCTTAAAGCCTTGAAATACTGGATTGACAAGCATCCAGAAAAAATAAATTACCGATTCACAAAAGATTTCATCTTAGAAGCCACAGAAATAGTATTAAAGAACAATACTTTTTCTTTTTGTGATAAACATTACGAGCAAATCAAAGGAACAGCAATGGGCACAAAAATGGCCCCTACCTACGCTACTCTAACATTAGGGTATTTAGAAGAGATACTATATGAGAAAATCAGTGATCGGTTTGATTCAACTACCGCTATCAACATTAAACAGAAATGGAAAAGATATCTTGATGACTGTTTCATCATTTGGAATGTAAACAATATGAATTTAGACATCTTTTACGACATTCTAAATGAGCTTGATCCCGACATACATTTTACTGTGGAGGAGAACCTGGAAAGTATATCATTTCTGGACGTCTTAATTACTCGAAATGGAGAGAAACTGACAACTGATGTATACTACAAGACGACAGACACACACCAATACCTCCATTTCGGTTCATGCCACCCCAGACATACTAAGCGTTCAATACCGTATAATTTATCGAGAAGAATCTGTACCATAGTCAGTGATGAGGAACGAAGGAAGGAACGTCTTAAAGAATTGAAAGGGTATCTTTTGGATCAGAAATATCCATTAGAAATTATAGAAGATGGAATTAAAAAAGCCGAAGAACTGGACCGTAACCAATTAATTAATCCGCCGTCTACAGACACTACAGAGGAGAAAATACTTCCTTTCGTTACGACCCACAGTCCAAGAAATAGAAACATGACCCCATTTGTTCAACATCTCAATGGAGTTCTTAAAACCGACGAAAAAATGTCAAAAGTTCTTCAAAATTTCCAATTCATAAATAGTAAGAGGCAACCGAAGAACCTCCGCCGCTTATTGTGCAAGTCGCATTTTCAACAAAATAATGTGCACTCAGTCAGCAAATGCCCTGACCGTCGCTGTGGAACATGTCCGTACATAAGAGAAGGAAATACCTTTAAAATTGGGCCCAAAGATTTTAAAGTTAATGCTAATATGTCTTGTGATTCTAAAAACGTCATATATTGTATAACGTGTGAAGGATGTGGACAATTTTACATCGGCGAGACTGGAACTACTCTCCGTACCCGTATCCGAATCCACAAACAACATATTCAACATCCAGAGTACAGACAGGTCAAAGTTAGTGAACACCTGGACCAATGCGGTAACGGACATTTCACCGTGTTCCCCTTTTACAAACTGTTAACCGACAGTACGGTAGAAAGAAGAGAAAAAGAGAAACATTTTATTAAGTCTTTAAAACCAACTTTGAACAGTTTAGCATAGTTTATTGTATTTTATATACATGTATGTTTATTTCTCATATGTTCAACATACACGTTTTTGCTTGTTTCCCGAACATTCATTGTGACGTCATTGTATTGTTGACAACGTCATTACCATAACAAATGTTCAAAGTAAAACGTCTGAAGAATTTGAATGAAAGCGCTAACGTTTTACAACTTGTGTTGTCGTTTTTTTTCTTTTTTAAATATTCATTGCCGGACACTGTGACTATTATATAATTTATTATTATATACAAGCTTTGGAGATATATATATATATATATCCGGATCAACATATATAAGTGTTGCAAGTCCAGCTGATCTCACAATTAGACCCATAGTTGCGGGACCAACATGTGAAACTCACAGGATAAGTAATCTATTGGATATATTATTGAAACCGTATGTTACCAAAGTTCAAAGTTATATACGAGACACAGTAGATTTTCTTAATACAATTCCTGAGAAAGTCAACCCTGAATCCATTTTGGTTTCATTTGATGTCACCAATCTCTATTCTAACATTCCACATGATCTTGGACTCATTGCAATAGAACATTGGATAGACAGATTTCCTAGTCTTTTGAATGACAGATTTCCGAAAAACTTTGTTTTAGAAAGCCTTCAATTAATCTTGGAAAATAATTTCATGCATTTTAATGACATAGTCTACAGACAAAAATTAGGCACGGCAATGGGAACCAAAGTTGCGCCAACTTATGCTACACTTGTCCTAGGATTCCTAGAAGAACAACTATATTTAACCGTGAAAGAAAAATTCGGGCAGGACTTTGAAAATTTTATAAGGAAGTCGTGGATACGCTACCTAGATGACTGTTTCGTCATATGGGACAAAAGTGAGGATCAACTAATGGAATTTTTTAATATTCTCAATACCCTGAGCCCGACTTTGAAATTCACCATGGAATCGGATAGAAATAAGTTATCCTTTCTCGATGTAATGGTTATTAAAAAAGAAAACCGTTTAATAACGGATGTTTTCTACAAAATAACAGATACCAAACAATACCTGATATTTGACTCTTGTCACCCTAGACACACCAGGAATAATATCCCATACAATTTAGCCAGACGTCTTTGTACAATAATTTCCGATGCAGAAATCTTGGAATCTCGTCTCACAGAACTACAAGAACTACTCCTTCAAAGGCACTATCCTAAACAGTTGATTGAAAACGGAATAAACAAAGCCAAATCTCAAGAAAGAAAACATCTACTTACAGTGAAAAATAAACAGGCAAAAAATGTCATACCATACGTGTCAACACATAACCCAAGAAATCCGGAAATTTTCAGCAGTATTAGGAACAATCTGCCCATTTTAGAGGAAGATCCAGACATGAAGAAAATATTAGAAACTTCACAGATCATTAAGAGTAAACGACAAAGTCCGTCTCTCAAATCCATCCTTACAAAAGCATCCTTTTCTACTAACAACAATGAACCAGCAATCATCAATAGATGCAACAAGCCCAGATGCAGTACTTGCCCATACCTGACAGAGGGATCCAAATTTCAATTTAAAACTGGAAGCGAATTTACCATTAAAACATCAATGTCATGCACCAGCTCGAATCTTATTTATGTAATAACCTGCGCCGGTTGTGGTAAAAATTATATCGGCCAGACAGGAGACACCCTGAGACACCGAATGACCGTACACCGACAACAAATTAGGGAACCAAGATACCAGTGTACCGCCGTAAGCGAACACATCAGAAACTGTGCCAAAAATAAAACCCCCAATTTTACTGTTTTTCCTTTCTATAAATTCCGAAGGGATACTACAGAAAAAGAACGTGAAACTAAAGAAAAACATTTTATAAACAGACATAAACCTGTTTTAAATGCAGCATAATTATATTTCATTTAAGAAATATACTTTTACCCGCATAATATAACTGTGCTATTTGTATAAAAAAATCTAATTTCCCGTAATAACTTACTTACGTATTATCATGACGTCATAATGAACTTTGCTAAAGCGCGACTAAGTATTGGCGCTTTATGACGTCACAATATGAATGTTGATTTTGTGTAACTAAGCATTGTATTGTCAAACTCCTGACGGTTGAGTTTATTTCGGTGTTGTGATTTTTTATTATATATATATATATATATATATATATATATATATATATATATATATATATATATATATATATATATATATATATATATATTTAAATAAATAAAAACAGAATGCTGCAGTCCAAATTAAATAAAATCTTTACTGTTAGCGCTTTCAGCCATGTTGGCTCTTCAGACAGTTATAAAAAATTCAAAACGTTGTCAATAACGTTGCTAATGACGTCGTGAAAATTTAAGTCATTATGACGTCACAATGTAGTTCGTGGTAGCGGCTGCATGAACTTTTTCAACGCAGTTAAAGAATGTATAATTAAAGCATAGAAATAAAATAAATTTTGTGAATTATACATAATCTCATTTGCAATTCAGTTTTGGTTTAAAAAGTCTTATAAAATAGTCCTCTTTGGTAACACGGGCGATTTCATCCGATGTCCACATTTTGTAGAACGGGAAAATCTTAAATTTCCCTTTACCACATTCGGCGAAATGTTCTGAACAAGGGGTGCATCTGACAGTTTCGTCCCGTATATGTTGCTTGTGTACCCTCACTCGTGCGTTAAGCTGATTTGTCTGCCCTATATAATATTCGCCACAGGTTGGGCATATTGCACAATAAATCAAATTTGAAGATTTACAATTCATGCTAGTATTAGGTTTTAAAACTTTCCCGTTTTTAAGTGTAATTTGTTCGCCTTCCTGAATGAAATCACACGTTCCACATCGGGGGTCACTACACTTTCTGACGACACTCTGGTTGCTAGAGGAAAATTTTGCTTTGGTTAATATCCTCTTCAGGTTTGGTGCTTGTCTCCTGCTGTTAATAATTGATGATTTGTCCAGAAGATTTTTCATGTTTTCAGATTGTTCTAATATTGGAAAAAATCGCTTTGCTGAATTGAGAATATTGTGGTTACGGGGGTTGTGAGTTATCACAAATGGAATATTCTCTTCGTTGTTTTCCTCTGGATGGCTAATATTTCGTAATTGGGTTATAGGTATGTCTTTTGCCCTGTTGATTCCGTCCTCAATAAGGTTCATTGGGTAATTTTGTCGCGTCAGGTGTTGTTTTAGTTCTTGAAGTCTTTTCAAGCGTAGAGAAGAATCGGTCACGATTGTACAAATACGTCTCGCCATATTGTATGGAATGTTCCTTTTTGTATGTGACGGATGACAAGAGCGAAAGTCCAAATATTGATGGGTATCTGTTTCTTTACAGAATAGGTCTGTAGAAATATTCCACAAACAGTACCAAGAGAAACATTACTTGTTAGTTTTGATGTTACCAGCTTGTACATTGCAGCCGCTACCACGAACTACATTGTGACGTCATAATGACTTCATTAGCAACGTTATTGACAACGTTTTGAATTTTTTATAACTATCTGAAGAGCCAACATGGCTGAAAGCGCTAACAGTAAAGATTATACGAAACTGTGTTTAGCTACCAAAGATTTTATTTAATTTGGACTGCAGCATTCTGTTTTTATTTATTGAAGTATTTCTTACTGTACCAAGAATTTAACTTGTCAACGTATATATATATATATATATATATATATACTCTTAAACAAATAAAAACAGAATGCTGCAGTCCAAATTAAATAAAATCTTTGGTAGCTAAACACAGTTTCGTATAAAATCCAGGGGTTTTTCCCAGAGAGAAGCATGCTGGGTAGGGATTTTCCTGCTATTTATAGGAGTCTAGATGAAAACTGCATCTTTTTTGTTTTTATTCGCATAAAGTAGAGTCTTATCTTAATATTTAAAGAAAAAAATGTGCATTCATTTTTAGGAAAAAAAATGGGAGACTTTTTAATAGGGGGAGATAACTCCCAAAACATCCAGTTTTCACATGTGCAGAATTGCATGAGTCAATTAGGAGGTAATGTAGCTCTTTCAAGAGGTGGAAAATGTACCCTGAAAGCACACTAAAAGAAAACCTTAGGACTTGTTCTGTGAAATGCATGCAACTTATTTTGTCTGATTTTTTCTGTTTTTGTTGAGCAGGGGGGTTAAAAATACATAGGTGCACTGAAAATGGATGGGTAAACAACCCAATATCCCCCTTATTTCAGGTGTCAAATACCCCCTAGTAGTAATTGATGAATGTATTATAGTTGGATATTTACAAAATTCACAATTTTATCTTTCCATTGATATGCAGAAGTCTATGTAACAAGCCTCCATTTTATTTTTTTGTAGGGGTCAGTTTTGCATGTCCCTCATCAAGTAACGTCCTGATAACGTCATACATAAAACTGTGTTTTGCACCCTTTACTGTTAGCGCTTTCAGCCATGTTGGCTCTTCAGACAGTTATAAAAAATTCAAAATGTTGTCAAGAACGTTGCTAATGACGTCGTGATAACTTTAGGCATTATGACGTCACAATGTAGTTTGTAGTAGCGGCTGCATGAACTTTTTCAACGCAGTCAAAGAATGTATAATGAAAGCATAGAAATTAAATAAGTTTTGTGAATTATACATAATGTCATTTGCAATTAAGTTTTGGTTTAGGTCTATGTTTTAATTTGTGATATCACCAATTCGAAAAGGTGATATCACTTATTCGAATTGGTGATATCGCCTATTCGATTGGATGATATTACCTTTTCCCGTAGAACAGCTGTAGTTTTTTTTTTGCTTACAAATTAATTTATTTCACTTATATATCATGTATACAACAAGAAAATCGTAGAAAATGTATGAAAACTGGGTAGTCCGAATTTTCTTGGTTCAAGTGTAGTATAATATATGTGACAGATCGTAAGACCTATACGAGTCCCGGATCGAGATACATACCTGTCCTGATACTGGTTCAGATACTTCCAGAACACAGACCAGATACATACATATTAGTTGTTGTTTATGATAAGGATAGGAAATCCTAA